ACATGGTCGATGAGAGGTCCTCTCAGAGAGGAGTAGTGATCCGAACAATCAAGCAAATATCTCTTGCTCTTTGCTCGCACACTTTGCATATATGAGACACTCGTTCTAACACGAGCAGTCGTAGTCTTCCACTCAGAGAAAGGCCCTCCTTCAAGAGCTCCGTCTCATGGAAGATACGACTGGAAAACGTCTCGAGGAGGGCAGAGTCGCTCCACGGCGGAAGAGAAGGTTCGGTGACCAGGTCGCCGCGACCTCTGACGGACCTTACGCGTATTGCTCCCCATCAGACACCAATACGGGGTCGATGAGGGACCCTCATTGAGGGTATTTGCAGAAAGGGTGGACGCCACCGACCTGTGTTTTGTGAGGCATGAACAATCAATCGCTTGATCTTCTCATTCGCATTTGGTTCCCGAGTATGAGTATTCATGATTTCCTCTTGTACTAGTGGAAAAGCAATAGTGACCCAGTAGACTGTCTACTGTAGACAGTAGGGTCCATTCGCCCGCAAATGGAGATCATATGGTGCAGTGACAGCACATAGAGCAGTGCCCTGAGAGCTGCTCTCAGAGAGCACATTCTGGTGTCTGGCCATTTCACCGTTTCGAATCGAACAAATATCAGCCAACTTCAAAGTCTGTAACTCCTACCTTGTTCGACGTCAACTTTGAATCGCCCAGGCGGATCGCGGTAACACGTAAAACGCTCCAGATGGAAGTCACATGACGCATGCCTCGCGAGGAGCTCCACACGTGATGAAGGACCTTAACGCGTCCTGGATTTCTTCGTGTTCCCGCGTTCCAATGTGGAACACAAATCCTCGGCCGGACAAATCCACACTTGTATGATACACAGGCCGTATAACGCACAAGGTGTGGATCTCGCGTTGGTGTTCCACGATTGGGGTAGTTAGTCAGGTGTTGCCTTTCTCTCTGGGGGCAAACGTAGCGCAGCTTGAAGCTGCCAGCTTCAGTCTTCCCATCTCGTTTTCTTCTGGTAGTTGTATGTTTTTCCATGACCATAGTCCACATACGAGGAACTCTTCCCATACCCGCATCAGTGGCAATGGCACCAGCCAGTTGTTAACTGCTCATGAAACCTTTACCTTTCATCAATTTATAGAGAATCGCTCTGGCGTGTTATGGTATAAGTCCCGTCGTTAGCTCTGCCAAGCGGAGATTATTTGTTCGAAAGTCCCTATTGAATAACATGACCGCCCTACAAATGCTCATATTTGCTACTGTGACTGTGGGTATGATGATTCAAGCGACGAATGGTAGAGACCATGCTCAAGGCAATGGTAAGATTCTCGTACGATTGCTCACGAGTTGTGGTTTCCAACATCGTCCATGAAATGCTTATCTGAGCCATCGCTGGACAGAGAGATGATTTCATGGGAGCCGTTTTCTTCACGAATTTCTCAGGTGTGTCATCTCAGGTTCAGTCACGGTTCGGTCGGGCCCCTTGTGCCATTCAAGTGTCGGAAAGCAGCACTCTGGATATGTGCATGTGGGTGGATCGAACAGGTTGGTGCCGCTTGTCTACGCCATTTTCAAAGACAACTATTGCAGATACTTCTACGTGGCTATTGAAGCCGATGCGGAACCTAGCAAGGCCCCTACTTTCATATTTATCGGCGGTGGCCTTGGTGATAGCAGTATCGGTATCGCCATGGGGCTCAATGGACCATGCCATGCGGATCCAGCTGGGACTCAACAGCTGCCAAACCCGTTAGGCGAAACACACACATATTGTGGCCATACATATCGTGTACATATGGGCTGTTGTT